TTGTTCCTCCTGGCTTGAAAGAAATATTGTAGAATCGGCAATTATACATAAATAACCTGCACATAAAATACAAGAGCTTATGACGACGTTTCGGTCCGACTTGGACCTTATACAAAGTCACACTAACGTGTGACTTTGCAAATGGTCAAAGTCAGACCGAAACGTCGTCGTATGCTCCTCTCTTCTATGTGCGGGTTATTTGGGCAGCGTTCCAGTCATGGATTGTGCCTTTTTTTGTTGTTAATCGGCAATTATTAAGCATGATAGGCAGTCATTATACAATATCAGTGATGGTCTTTTCAAATTAGATGCATTTTTAGTTGAGGCAATAGTACACAGCCTAAAATTGTGCTCATATATAAATGCATTAGACTGTCTTAAATGCAGTGCCACACCCAGGAATTAGGGACTATTTTTCCTGCAGTTTCTGAAGGTTGAACCAGAGTTTGCCTCATAATTATGTGGTTTGAATATCTGTGGCCGTCTTTCTTGTTACTGCAGATGCCTCCCTCTTTAAATGAGTTTATTTTAATGAGCCTAGTTTCCTTTACATAGCTTTTAGAAGTCTCCCCTGTAAATATTACCGTTTTCTCGTCAATTTAATTATACACATTGTCCCTTGGAAGGCTACTCTATAACTACCAGAGACGTCTATATCATTTGCGATATATTTATGTGAGTAAAGTTATTCATGAAATTGCAGAAATTGATCGAATTTTTTATTATTGTCACGTTAATTTCGCTCAGGCTAGTACAATATATCAATGCTTATGGGATTTTTCTAATGCTATAATATTCATCCTTCTGGTTGTGGGCACTGTTGTGCCTGGGGGCACTTCCGGTACCTTCCTCTCTTCCTTCCTCACTCATTCACTCCAGAGAAGACGGTCCTCTGGGAACGTACTTGCTTCGACATCCTCCTCTTATCTGTAATTTTCCAAGCTCCTGATGATGCGTTGATTGCAACACGAAAGGCCTAGAGTTATCATTCTACTCCACCCGAGGTTGTTTTGCATATATATATATATATTATAATATATAATATATATATATATATATATATATAATATATATATATATATATAAATATATATATATATATATATACACATATATATATATATAATATATATATATATATATATATATTATATATATATATATATATATATATATATATAAGTACATATGTACTCACCTAATTGTGGTTGCAGGGGTCAAGACTCAGCTCCTGGACCCCTCTTCACTGATTGCTACTAGGTCCTCTCTCTCTCTGCTTCCTGAGCTTTATCATACCTCTTCTTAAAACTATGTATGGTTCCTGCCTCCACTACTTCACTTGCTAGGCAATTCCACTTCCTGACGACTCTTTGACTGAAGAAATGCTTCCTAACGTCCCTGTGACTCGTCTGAGTCTTCAGCTTCCAGTTGTGACCCCTTGTTTCTGTGCCCCCTCTCTGGAACATCCTATCTCTGTCCACCTTGTCTATTCCCCGCAGTATCTTGTATGTCGTTATCATGTCTCCCCTAACCCTTCTGTCCTCCAGTGTCGTCAGTCCGATTTCCCTCAACCTTTCCTCGTTCGACATTCCCCTGAGCTCTGGGACTAGCCTTGTTGCAAACCTTTGTACTTTCTCTAACTTCTTGACGTGCTTGACCAGGTGTGGGTTCCAGACTGGTGCTGCATACTCCAGTATGGGCCTAACATACACAGTGTACAGTGTCTTGAACGATTCCTAATTAAGGTATCGGAACGCAATTCTCAGGTTTGCCAGGCGCCCGTATGCTGCAACAGTTATTTGGTTGATGTGTGCCTCCGTTGACGTGCTCGGTGTTATGGCCACCCCGAGGCCTTTCTCCCTGAGTGAGGTCTGTAGTCTTTGTCCACCTAGCCTATACTCTGTCTGCGGTCTTCTTTGCCCCTCCCCAATCTTCATGACTTTGCATTTGGCAGGATTGAATTCGAGAAGCCAGTTTCTGTACCACATGTCCAGCATGTCCAGGTCTCTTTGCAGTCCTGCCTCATCCTCATCCGATTTAATTCTTCTCATCAACTTCATATCATCTGCAAATAGGGACACTTCAGAGTCTATTCCTTCCATCATGTCTTTCGCATATATCAAAAATAGCACTGGTCCTAGAAGTGACCCCTGTGGGACCCCGCTCATCACAGGCGCCCATTGTGATACCTCTTCACGTACCATGACTCGTTGCTGCCTCCCTGTCAGGTATTCCCTCATCCATTGCAGTGCCCTCCTTGTTACATGCGCCTGATCCTCCAGCTTCTGCACTAATCTCTTGTGGGGAACTGTGTCAAAGGCCTTCCTGCAGTCTAGGAAAACGCAATCAACCCACCCCTCTCTCTCGTGTCTTACTTCTGTTACCTTGTCATAAAACTCCAGGAGGTTTGTGATACAAGTTTGCCTTCAATGAACCCATGCTGGTTTTCATTTATAATCTTGTTCCGTTCCAGGTGTTCAACCACTCTCCTCCTGATAATCTTCTCCATGACTTTGCACACAATACATGTCAGAGACACAGGTCTGTAGTTTAGCGCCTCATTTCTGTTTCCTTTCTTAAATATGGGGACTACATTTGCTGTCTTCCATTTCTCAGGTACTTGCCCAGCTTCAAGGGATGTGTTGAAGATTGTGGTTAGAGGCACGCACAGCATATCTGTTCCTTCTCTAAGGACCCATGGGGAGATGTTGTCCGGTCCCATCGCCTTTGAGGTATCAAGGTCACTTAGCAGCTTCTTCACCTCCTCCTCGGTTGTTTGTATGTCATCCAACACTTGCTGGTATATTTCCTCTTGATGTTCCCTTCTGTGCTGTCTTCCCACAGCCCTTCCTGTCTCTACTGTAAAAACTTCCTTAAATCTCCTGTTTAGCTCCTCACATACCTCCTGATCATTTCTTGTGAGTTCTCCCCCTTCTGTCCTCAGACTGATCACCTGGTCTTTGACTCTTGTCTTCCTCCTGATGTGGCTATACAACAGTTTTGGGTCAGTCTTGATTACAACAATGCACAAATAAACTCCCGATGAACAGCAAAGGAATTTTTTTTTCGAAATTCGACCAAAAACTGCGAAACAGTCATTTCTCTCTCTTTCTCTCTCTCTCTCTCTCTCTCTCTCTCTCTCTCTCTCTCTCTCTCTCTCTCTCTCTCTCTCTCTTCTTCTCATCTCTATCTCTCTCTCTCTCTCTCTCTCTCTCTCTCTATCGTATTTTCATGACAGTTAAATGATAATAGTGAATGACGTGTGCAAAATTACTTACAGATGAATAAACATGTGATTCAATTTCATTTTGCATGATTTCTTTTCTAAAATCTAAATTTCAATGGATTTAAATTTCTGTCAACTTTTTTTGTAGTCAATATGAAACGTCAAATACAGCTGACCAAACTGTACTCGCATGCCTGTACTCAATTAACTGCATTAACCTAATTGTAGCCTCCGAGCTGTACTCACCTGAATGTATTCACATTTAATGTACTCACCTGCCTGTGCTCAACTATCCATATCCCCCCTAGATGAGCTCACATAACTGTACTCACCAATCTATATTCCTGTAGCTGTACCAGCTAACTGTACTCACCTAACTACGTCTCCCTAAATGTACTCAACTAACTGTACTCACCTAACTACGTCTCCAAAAGATATACTCAGTTAACTACATCTTCCTAGATGTACTCAACTAACTGTACTCACCTAACTACGTCCCCTAAATGTACTCAACTAAACTATACTCACTTAAACGTTATGACTCAACTGCAAACTTAAACCAATTTTCCTGGAGTTTTACTAAGTATCCTGCTGAGTTGACTATCTCAGCCAGGCGCTGGGATATCACATAACATGCTGCTCAGCACACTCTCTCAGCTAAGCTCTGGAAAAGTGAGCTCAATGAGCCTTCCTTTAATTCGTCTGTTTCTTGACGTGGAACTACGCGTCAGTTTCTTAGAACTTAAATTAGTGTTCTCAAATCTCATTTTCTTTATTTTAAGTTAGACTGAACTGTTTCAGGTTAGTATTGGTTAATTTAGGTTAGTTTAGATTATGTTACGTTACATACTAACTACATGAAAACACACAAACACACACACACACACACACACACACACACACACACTCACACACACACACACACACACACACACACACACACACACACACACACACACACACACACACACACACATCCTTCTCATTTACACCTGCACTTACCCAAATTCCAAATATAACTGTTACCTAATATTTCTCAAGCTAGTCCTAAGTTTGCCTGAGATATTCCAATATAAAAGCTTTAACAGAAACTATGTATCACGCCAAGACAAAATCATTCTCATTACTAATTTTACAAATTGTTATATTCTTAAATGTTTTGAACTACCTAATTTGTAATTTGTAATACAGACTAAGAATTATTATTAGTCTGCCCGAAATGCCTAGGCATACTAGTGGCCTTCTTCGTAATTGTTTAATATTATGTAAAACCACACATTGTAATCTTTACAGAGAAATAAACATTCGAATTTGAATTTGAATACTTCAATAATGCTGTATATATATGACCGGAAATGGGCAAATTACACACAAAAAAAAAGTATAATACGTCGGGCAATGAGGTGTTCGAGAGGAAAAAAACAGGTAACACTGTAGTCTCGAACGTTTTAGTTGTTATAGTGTGAGTGTGGTCTGGTGTGCAACACTTCTTATTTCTATTGTTCCTCTTCTTCCTTTTTGCTTCTGCTTCTTCTTACTCTTATTCTTCATCTCCATCCTTCGTTATCTATCTTCTTTTTCTTCCGTTTCTTCTTCTTCTTCTTCTTCTTCTCATACAAAGAATGATGTCCATATATAAACATAAAACAAAAATTTCAGATAAATAACAGACTGTGACGTTCAAACACTTCTAGCAAGTCAGCTGTTGACTGAATAATTGATGTTATTAAAAATCATAGCTGAAATATAAGCTAAAGAACACGTCCCAACTCACATTTGACCCTTAGCTTGATGGGGTTAGACTGGCCGTCACCTTCTATGTTGGAGGCGACGCAGTAGTAGTGACCTGAGGCTGACCTTGTCACCTGCTGGAGCACCAGGCTCTGGTTGCTGAGGATCACCCCAGCAGACACGTTGTGCTGTAGCTCCTGGCCCTGTGGAGGTGTGAGAGTTAATGTGTGTTATAACTCCTGGCCCTTTAGAAGTGTGAGAACAGGTGTTTGTGTGTGTATTGTAGCTCTTGGCTCACTAAAGCTAAATGTGAGTGTTATTGTGTGTTTTAGCTCCTGGATCTGAAAAGCCAAGTGTGCGAGTTAATGTCCCTTGCAATTACAACACTGTAACTTAATTTCTTTAAAACTACTTAATATGTTAGAGTGCCAGAGAACAACAAGACTACGTTATGGGACGACAGGATAAACATGGCAGTTAGTGAGTGTTGTGGTGACGAGTAGAGGCACGTGTGTGTGTGTTATGTTTGTTGCTGATCTTGAGAGACAAGACGAAGACGTGGACGAAGAAGAAGATGAAGACAAAGACGATAAAGAAGAGGACTAAGAAGTATTCATTCGGAAATTTAAAGCCTCCAGTAGGTTAGTGACAGAGTATAATCTAAGAAAGCCCAGTAAGGTGACTTATTTCCGTTGGGTAGCAGGTTTTTAGGGAAGTTTTTCTTGCCTCACCCAGGATTGAATAACCACGGATTGAAACGTTTCACCAGTGTGATTCAGTAGTTACTCATATTTGCCATTTGAGTGGCTAAAGTTTGGTGTGATTCATGCCACCACACACGGTTCACCCTAAGTGACGTGTATGCGCGAAGTTTGTGTATATCAGTGTTTGTGTAACATTAAAAACTTACATGTTATCTTCGGTAAGGGAAGTGATGAGTGAGAGTGTGTGTGTACTCACCTATTTGTACTCATCTATTTGTGGCTGCAGGGGTCGATTCATTGCTCCTAGCCCCGCCTCTTCGCTGATTGCTACTAGGTCCTCTCTCTCCCTGCTCCATGAGCTTTATCATACCTCGCCTTAAAACTATGTATGGCTCCAGCCTCCACTACGTCACTTTCTAGGTTATTCCACGGCCTGACTACTCTATGACTGAAGAAATACTTCCTAACATCCCTTTGATTCATCTGAGTCTTCAACTCCCAACTGTGACCTCTTGTGTCTGTGTCCCTTCTCTGGAACATTCCGTCTTTGTCCACCTTGTCTATTCCGCGCAGTATTTTATATGTCGTTATCATGTCTCCCCTGACCCTCCTGTCCTCCAGTGTCGTCAGGCCAATTTCCTTCAACCTTTCTTCGTAGGACAATCCCCGTAGCTCTGGGACTAGTCTTGTTGCAAACCTTTGCACTTTCTCTAATTTCTTGACGTGCTTGACAAGGTGCGGATTCCAAACTGGTGCTGCATACTCCAGTATGGGCCTGACGTAAATGGTATACAGAGTCTTGAACGAATCCTTACTGAGGTATCGGAACGCTATCCGTAGGTTTGCCAGGCGCCCGTATGCTGCAGCAGTTATCTGATTGATGTGCGCCTCAGGAGATATGCTCGGTGTTATACTCACCCCCAGATCTTTTTCCTTGAGTGAGGTTTGGAGTCTTTGGCCATCTAAACTATATTGTGTCTGCGGTCTTCTTTGCCCTTCCCCAATCTTCATGACTTTGCATTTGGCAGGGTTAAACTCAAGGAGCCAGTTGCTGGACCAGGCTTGTAGCCTGTCCAGGTCTCTTTGTAGTCCTGCCTGATCCTCATCCGATTTGATTCTTCTCATTAACTTCACATCATCTGCAAACAAGGACACTTCTGAGTCTATCCCTTCCGTTATGTCGTTCACATATATCAAGAACAGCACAGGTCCTAGGACTGACCCCTGTGGAACCCGCTTGTCACAGGCGCCCACTCTGACACCTCGTCACGTACCATGACTCGTTGTTGCCTCCCTGTCAGGTATTTTCTGATCCATTGCAGTGCCTTTCCTGTTATGTGTGCCTGATCCTATAGCTTTTGCAGTAACCTCTTGTGAGGAACTGTGTCGAAGGCCTTCTTGCAGTCCAAAAAAATGCAGTCGATCCACCTCTCTCTCTCTTGTCTTACTTCTGTCACCTTGTCATAAAACTCTAGTAGGTTTGTGACACAGGATTTTCCTTCCCTGAAACCGTTCTGGTTGTCAATTATACACGTGTTTCTTTCCAGGTGCTCCACCACTCTCCTCCTGATGATCTTCTCCATGACCTTGCATACTATACACGTTAGTGATACAGGTCTGTAGTTTAGTGCCTCATGTCTGTCTCCCTTTTTAAAAATTGGGACTACATTTGCCATTTTCCATACCTCAGGGAGTTGCCCAGTTTCAAGTGATGTGTTGAAGATCTTTTTTAATGGCACACACAATATCTCTGCTCCCTCTTTAAGGACACACGGAGAGATGTTGTCTGGTCCCACCGCCTTTGAGGTGTCAAGTTCGCAAAGCAGCTTCTTCACCTCCTCCTTGGTTATATGTACCTCATCCAGCACTTGCTGGTGTACCCCCCTGTTCTGATTTCCTGGAGTCCTACTGATTTCCACTGTAAATACTTCTTTAAATCTCGTGTTGAGCTCCTGACATACCTCTCGGTCGTTTCTTGTGAATTCCCCATCACCCTTCCTCAGTCTGATTACCTGGTCCTTGACTGTTGCTTTCCTCCTGATGTGGCTGTACAACAGCTTCGGGTCAGTCTTGACTTTCGATGCTGTCATTTTCATATTGTCGCTGAGCCTCCCTTCTTATCTGTGCATATTCGTTTCTGGCTCTTCGGCTAATCTCTTTATTTTCCTGAGTTCTCTGTCTTCTGTACCTTTTCCATTCTCTAGTACACCTAGTTTTTGCCTCCCTACACCTTTGGGTGAACCAAGGACTCGTTCTGTTCTTCCCATTATTTCTGTTTCCCATGGGAACAAACCTCTCCTCTGCCTCCTTGCATTTTGTTGCGACATAGTCCATCATTTCTTGTACTGGTTTTCTTGTCAGTTCCCTCTCCCACTGAATGTCTTGAAGGAAGTTCCTCATGCCTGAGTAGTTCCCCCTTTTGTAGTTTGGTTTTTCCCACCCTATTCCTGCTACTCTCTCCACTCGCAGCTCTACTATATATTCAAAGCACAGAACAACGTGGTCGCTATCTCTCAAGGGCCTTTCAAACATGATATCCTCGATGTCCGAGCTACTCAAGGTGAATACAAGGTCCAGTCTTGCTGGTTCATCCTCTCCTCTCTCTCTGGTAGTGTCTCTAACATGTTGATGCATGAGGCTTTCCAGTACCACATCCATCATCTTGGCTCTCCATGTTTCGGGACCCCCATGGGACTCCAGGTTTTCCCAGTCAATCTCCTTGTGATTGAAATCACCCATTATTAGTAACTTAGTTCCCCCCATGTATGCTCTCCTGGCCACCTCGGCTAGTGTGTCGACGATTGCTCTGTTGCTCTCATTGTATTCTTCTTTTGGCCTCCTGCAGTTCTGTGGTGGGTTGTACATTACTGCAATTATCACCTTATGTCCCTCAGATTGGATTGTTAATACTAAGTAGTCCCTTTCGCCCATGCCATCCATTCCTTCCATTTTCTCAAAACCCCACTGGTTTTTAATGAGCAGTGCAACTCCTCCTCCCCCTCTCCTCCCTCTGTCTTTCCTGAGGATTTGATATCCGGATGGAAAGATTGAATCTGTTATTATTCTCGTGAGTTTTGTTTCTGTGAGTGCTATTATGTCTAGGGATGTCTCTTTGATTCTTTCGTGCCACTCCTCATATTATTTGTTATTCCATCTGCATTTGTATACCACACCTTCAACTTCTTCTCTAAGACTGTGGTCTGGGAGGTGTATTGGGGTTGGGGAAGTGGGAGACCTGATAAGGAACTATGGGTGGTTGCTGTGGGGGTGGAGTTTGTAATGCAGTGGGTGGGGGCATTGGATGTGGCATGGGTGTTTTGGTTTAGAGTGTTTGGTTGCACTGGGGTTGACCTGGTTGGGAGGCTTCTATAGGAAGTTGTGAGGGAGGCTGTATTTGATCTTCTTCCTGGGTCTGGGATCTCCTGTCTGTCTTCTCCATCCCCTCTCTTTCCTCCTTTCGCCTTTGTACCATCTCTCCCAGTTTCTGCCTTTCTTCTTGTGTTCTGTCGCGGTCGAGATACACCTTCCTGTATGCCAGCATGTCCCTTAATCGTGCTTTCTCCTGCAGGATCCTGTTCTGAGTTGATTCTGCCTTGAAGGTCACTTTCACTGGCCGGGTTCTTTTTTTTACATTATTATTATTATTATAATCAAGGGGGAAGCGCTAAACCCGGAGGATTATACAGCACCTGGGGGGGGATGTGGAAGGCATTCAGGCTTAATTCGGGGAACTGGAGCACAGATCCAATTCCTTAAATCAAGAGCCCCTCACCAACATCAAGGAACCTTCCTTGAGGGGTCTTTTTTTTTTTTTATACAAACCCCCCTATTCTCTGAAAAATTTCCAGCTGGGTCATGTCATCTTCTCTTATTGCTTTCATGATGCTTTCAATTGCTTTTTTTCCCCTTGTTTTCTTGCTTCATATGTTTCCCCTTCAACTTCCTGGAGCCCATACACAAAGACTGACCTCACCCTTTCATTCTCCCACTGCATATCCCTGTGTATCCCCTCATTCAATTTTATTTCCTCCACTGCAGCTTTCCTTTCTTCAGTTCACTAGCTAATGTACTTGGGCTCTGTGGCCTGTCATTTTCTCTTCTCGGCTTTTCCTGGGCTCTGCTGTGGTCTGTTAGGGCCTCCACATATAGCTTAGCTCTTTCATTTACTACAGTCTCCTCTGATAGAGCTTCTACATGCAGTTTTGCTCCTTCTTTCCCTACAATCCCCTTATTTGTGACTGAGGTAGCAATCTCTGTTGTCAATCCCAAAATGCTCTTTAGTTCTTTAGGCTGTTTCAGATTTTTCAGTTCCTCTTCTAAACTCTGTATCCTAGCCTCTGCTGCTTTGACTTGCACCTCCCACTTCCTGCTTTCTATATCTATCCTCTCTTCCATTCTCATGCTAAATTTTTCTAGTTTCTTTTCCCATTCATGTTCCCTTTTTATGAGCTCTGCTGCCCAATCTTCCTTTGCAGCTTCCTCCTGTCCCTTTGTTTTTC